CATAGCCTGAGGTTGGTCTTCTAATGTGCTCGATCATCAAACTATATCCACACTCCATAAGCCAAACCAAACATTCAGTCGCATTATACAAGCACTGGTTACTGGAAGCCTAGTCTTCTGTGGATGAACATCAGCAGCAAGTCTGGAATGTATATATAACCAGTTCCCCAACGGGGATACACACGTCTTTGCTGAGTTACAGTTAATCATAGGCGGTCTGTAACATAGCACAGCATGGTGATGTAGTGAGAAGGGTAAAAATAACACAGAACGATAAAGCAGTGGGTGAGTGAGTGTGTTCATGTTTGTACGTTGCTTTAGTAATTTTACAGCAATATCTCCACTGGGGCACCAGAAATGGGCTTCACAGATTGTATCCACGTGGAGAATTGTACCTTGGGCCTTGACATGGGGTTGGGGTTGGGGGTTTTGGTAGCCTAGTGTTTAAGCGTTCGCTCGCCACGCCAAAGACCCATGTTGGATTCCCCACATGGGCAAAATGTGTAAAGGATATTTCTTCTGGGCTCCCCAGGCCGTGATATTGCTGGAATATTGCTAACAGCGGCGTAAAACTATCACTCACTCCTTGGCGTGACGAGCGAATGCCTCAAACACTGGGTTAGTCCACCTCTCCGAAAGAAAAAAAGAAGTTGTATTTCAGAGGAAACCCGTGAAGATCCGGATTAGAATTCGTCTTCAGCAACCAAAGTGAATGCCTGTCATAACGGGATCACGACATTGTCTGGTTCAGACTCGACCGTTCACTGACTGACAAACAGTGGGAATATTGTGGAGTGCAGCGTTAAACAGCAACCCCTTTCAGTCGAAAACCTAGCAATAATTCTACACCAATGCTAACAGAAATTCAAAGAAATATTGTATGTGCAATGTTAATCGCTGGCACAAGGATTCTGGGAAAGTGACAGTCTTCTTGGCAGCATCGGCCATGTTCCCAAAGCCTTCAAGGATAACAGAAGTCGTAGACACACTAATGAGAATGTCAGATAAAGGCGAACAGTGCAGCTGGTAATGTCTAAGGAGAGACACTTGTCTTACCATGAACGTCTGGATATTGATTAGCGTGTAGAGTTCGTGTTGATTTTTTAACATTGGTTATTCTTGGAAAGAACCTTTAGTCTGATGAGATTAGAAGAAAACTGTAGGGCATTGTTTGGCATCACGTTTTGGGTCCAGTGCCATTTAGGTTTACAGTTGCAACGTAAAGAACATAATACTGTACTTCGTTGATACTGACTCAACTTGTAAATATCTTCATCACGCTTTGGATTTTTATCTACGATCACCGCCATGATATTGCTGGAATATTGCTAAAGCGGAGTAAAACCACAATAACTCACAATCTGTTATCACGATCATTGGTCTGTGACCACAGTACCCGTGCTCGTTGGCGTCAACGTCATAACGTCGACGGATATACGGTGCCACTTATACGAAATGGATCACGAGAATGAGGGATGACACCAGGTGTTCGCGAAAGGGTAGACCAGTAGGATCCGTGTTGCTTGTTTGTTGCCCGAAGCCGCACAATATGACATGCCATTATCTATATAGTGCATGCCATTATCTATATGGTACATGCCATTATCTATATGGTACATGCCATTATCTTTATAGTACATGACATTATCTATATGGTACATGTCATTATCTATATAGTACATGCCATTATCTATATGGTACATGTCATTATCTATATGGTACATGCCATTATCTATATGGTACATGCCATTATCTATATGGTACATGCCATTATCTATATGGTACATGCCATTATCTATATAGGTACATGCCATTATCTATATGGTACATGTCATTATCTATATAGTACATGCCATTATCTATATGGTACATGTCATTATCTATATGGTACATGCCTTTATCTATATGGTACATACGGGTACATGCCATTATCTATATGGTACATGTCATTATCTATATGGTACATGCCATTATCTATATGGTATATGCCATTATCTATATGGTACATGCCATTATCTATGTGGTACATGCCATTATCTATATAGTACATGCCATTATCTATATGGTAATTTGTTTAACGCCGCACTCAGCAATATTCGAGTTTTTTGGCGGCGCTCTGTAAATAATCGTGACTGGACTAGATAATCCAGTGATCAACAGTATCAGCATCGATCTACGGAAATGGGATAAGATGACATATATCTATCAAGTCAGCGAGCCTGACCACATGATGCTTTTAGTCGCCTCTTACGTCAAGCATGGGTTGCTGAAGACCAATTCTAACCTTGATCTTCAGGGTACATCAAGCTTGTGTGTTTTGGGTTGATAAATACCCTTAACTAAAATGGCCCTTTAAAGAGAATTGATCTACTCTGCATCCTTTTGATTGAGGATAATGACGATGACGATGTTTGCCACAATGCCTTAACATTAACATTTCAGAAATCAGAAAAAATGAACAGACGACAATCAATAAAATGACAAATAATAAAGAAACATTTTATGCGTCTAGCAAATATGAGTAACACTACAGATGCTTCCGTTAACGTTGAATGAGTGAGTGAGTTCAGTTTTACGCCAGTTTTCAATAATCCAGTAATATCACGGCGGGGGACACCAGAAATCGTTAACTTTGTCTACCTGAGTATAATGAAACATGACTAAAAGTACATCTGCTTCCTTGAGAAGGTCTTGGGTACGTTTACGTGAGCGTTGATACGAGACAACGGGATCGGCTACTTTTTATTATATTTGTTTGGCATAAATCCAGGAAGTAAAACTACATAAATTACAGAGTTAGTGTCTGAAGCATTATACAAAGAACATGCTAATTCCACTCCCTGTATATGTAGTACATAGGATAGATTGCTACAATGCGCACGTTATGATTTAAAGCAAGAATTAAGGGATTGTCTGAAAGACTGATCACCCAGAGCTATTCAGCTTTTACTCCAAGGAACGGCCGTGCAAAGATCCAACTTTTGTATCCTATGCATATTACATTCATCATCGCTCGTGTTCATTTCATGTGTAGTTTATAAAAGGATTAGTGTATTGCCAAAGAGGCGGACTGCCCCAGCCAGCCTAGGTTATTAGTTGGTGTAGAATTCTATACATTGAAATGACAGAATAAGCTGGCGTTAATGAATACGTGGTTGTATGGTGTTGCAGCTGTATCAAAGGATATTGTTGTTGGTCGTGTTTGGACCAGACACATTAGAGTTTGACATAATGAGGGTTGATACATGCCGCCAGAACATGATGACATCGGGACATTTACACATTGTGACCCACAAACACGTGATATTGGAAATCTGATCTTACAATAATGTGAGTCTGACTAGTCTCGCCTTCTTAATTCACAAGGAAACCGTGGATCAGAGACGCTGCATTTCACTGTACAGAGTTGGTTCCCTTGGGCATGCCAGAATCCTATGATTGCGGGTTCGATTTATGGTTCGCCCATATTGTATTTCAAGATTTGTCTGATCATACCTCTCCTCGAGGGTTTTACCAAACTGGTGAAAGTCTGGCACCTGCATGGTTTCGAGCGAACATTGATCTGCCACGCTGTGAAAATCGGCGTTTAAACGAAAGTCAATCACTCACGGACTCACGTGTAATAAGTATTATTTGAATGTGCTGTCCTGTCTATACTCAGCCTGTAGCATGTTCCTGATCCTCATATTAGCATCACCCATACGCCATGAAAGTCCCATTGGGTGTACAGCGAAATGGGTGTTGTGATAGCCTAGTAGTTGAAGCGCCGATGATCCGGGTTCGATTCTCCACATGGGTACAATGTGTGAAGCTCATTTCTGCTGTCTTCCACTGTGATATTGCTAAAATATTGTTAAAAGTGGCGTAAAACTAAAATCACTCACTTAAAGAAAGAGTGAAGAGTGACTTCCCGTCACTGTAAGAAACGGCTTACTGGTGGTCTGAAACCGAATTCGCCTGAATGATTTGTCAGTGAATTATTTAAGCAAGAGATAAACTTGAGTCCTGAGTCACTATTGGCTTTCCTGCAGTATTGATCTAACGCGTCGGGATGTTATTGAAATGTAGATAAAGGACTCATGACATATCAGTTGTGGCATGTAACAACTTTTATAGCCGCATCTCAGTTCCATTGCGGCGCCTATCCCAATTTATAATATCGTAACAACTGAGTAGGATATGTCGATGTGCGAACCCTTAACCACGAGGCTACTCCATCGCCCCCTGGGAAATGAATGTGTACGGGGAGTGAAAATTGACGAACTCGGATCTTGAGTGTGACGAGCGCACGCTTTAACCACGAGGCTACTCCACCGACCCCTGTAAGAAGAGTGTGTACGGAGAGTGAAAATTGACGAACTTGGATCTTGACGAGCGAACGCTTTAACCACGAGGCTACTCAACCGCCCCTGTTAGAAGAGTGTGTACGGAGAGTGAAAATTGACGAAGTCGGATCTTGAGTGTTGACGAGCGAACGCTTAACAACGAGGCTACTCAATCGCCCCTGTTAGAAGAGTGTGTACGGAGAGTGAAAATTGACGAAGTCGGACCTTGAGCTTAACGAGCGAACGCTTTAACCGCTAGGCTACTCCACCACAACCTGACAGCTGAATGTGTACGAAGAGTGAAAATTGACGAAGTTCGTAGTCATTTAGTGAAACTAACGAACACGGTATGGTGCTGCAAAAATATAAGCATTACCAAAGCAGATCCTAACACGACTAAGGGACGCTACTGTGCATAACGTACGATACTTGTTGTCTAGTCAACAACAAGTTCAGTGCCTCATGTCATGACTTAAGTATAAAACTCCGAAACCAATTCCATTGGGCAAAATAATGTTGAAAATTATTCGAATGGATCACTTACAATAAACGGGGACTGTAGGTGTTCCTGAAAAGGACACAAATACCCTACAGGAACAACTTGCATAGACAGGTGTTCGTTTGTTGCCTCATGCCGCACATCAGTATTCCTGCCACACTGGCGCTGCAATAAAGACCGAGTATTGACCGGTACATCACTTTATGTATGTTTATAATGCGCTTATAACACTTTAAAGGTAGCTTCGTGGTATCGCCTTACCAAGGCACTATTTTCCGTGCGAATCATCAGTAAAAGTAGCAAATGTTTTCCCATGTTATTCCAGATTCCATATGTAATAAGTTGGCGGGCCAAACCGACTTCTGGGCAATCCCAGAAATTACTAGCAGCATACTGAAGCGGTTTGCTGCTTAATTCACCATGATTAAAATCAAGGTTTACTGGTTCGGGTAATCCCCGATGTAAATTGGTTTCATATTAAAAAGGGCAAATTCTCCAAAGATCTCAGGAAACATTTTTGTGGGATTATTTTGACTTTGTGAATCGATGCGGACACTGTGACGGCTGCGGAGGCTTTCTCGGCTACCTCTGGATCGGTCATACTTAGATCACCAACACACGACGAAAATTGATCCAACGACAGAAGAAAGTGCTTGCGCCAGCAGAACTAGCGAGTACAAAGAGGGACTACTGGAATTTCCTCCATTTCAAACACCAGTGCGAGAATACTGTACAGGTTGTGAAAAACACTGATGAAGAGGACACAGAACAACGTTCCCTCATAATCAGCAGCATGAACAGGCTTCGATCACCGGTGAAATCGGAGCCCCGTAATTAGCGCTGCGCTTTAGGAAACCACGCTTACCTTTGCCGCCGAAGGCGGAGCCAACGCACGCGCAGAGGGTGTAAGATTGACAGGTGGGCTAGGCGGACAGCTGTTCAGCATTGAGAGTTTGCAGTGTGCGGAAGGATAAGTAATCAGAGATACGGGTTACTTTGTGGAGGATATTCTTTCAGCGTTATTCAGCCCAGGGCTTGATCCGGTTCATGAGAAACTCCACGTACTTCAAACCTTGTCCTGACACGCAAAGCAGAGCTCGTGGAGCTATTATTTTCACTCCGCTTCTCACCGTGTTTGTCAGATTATAAAATAAGATACAGTTCTCCAAAGACCCATTTTATTCCAGTTTCAAAATTGTAAACGTAAAGCTTCATTTGTGAAAAGATCAAAGGCTTCTGTCAGACCTCCTCACAATGAGGATACGTGTAGGGTCCACTGACTGGATATTCTTGGATCTGCTTTTTGTGATTGTGGTCTGCAGCATTGACGTTGTTGGCTCCGTGGACAAAAACAAAAAGAGGTGAGTGGGAATATTTGTGATGACAACCATATTGCAGGGTTAAGGAACGGACACGTGCCGGGAACCTATCAACGTGTGCCTATAGAGCCTCTCTGGAAAGTTCCTTATTTAGCTTCGTATTTATAGTTATTACTTATAACAGCTATTTATATCAATGTTTAATATATTTGCGAATTATTTTTCATACGATCCAGAGAAAATTAATATTGTGAAGATATTTCTAAAATTTCATCTTTCTGTGATCTCATTTGTAATGGGTCTTACATGTATCAGTGTTAGTGCGAGTGAGTTTAGTTTTACGCCGCATTTAGCAATATTCCAGCAATATCGCGGCGGGGGACACCAGAAATGGGCTTTACACATGGTACACATGTGGGGAATCGAACCCGGGTCTTCAGCGTGATGAGCGAATTCTTTAACCACTAGGCTAACCCACCTCCCCTATATCAGTGTTTACGTTACCTGCGATTACCCTTGTGATTATATTACCATATCGTACGGGAGATTAAAGGCGTCTGTACTGCAGTACGTCGAAGATTACGGTGACCTTCTAATTTGTATGTTCTAATGGTGAAGACAACGATACCACGCCTACTTTAACCTCGACACGTGATTCATCTCATAACAGATTTTCAATGCATATTCATCATGTATTTTTTAAAAGTATTATCCCATAACTAAGGTGGCTTGTGCTAATTAAGCTGTAAAGTTACCGTGTAATACAGTGGCATACAGTCGAATATACGTACATTGTTGCTACATTTTCATAGTTTTTTCAGCAATACATTTCATTTTGCTAATATGAAAAAAGGAAGTATACGTCTTCCATCCAAAATGAAAAAAAATGGACACCGAGTCGAATGAAAGCGAATACTAACATAATAACATATCGATTGTAAAAAATGTGTCTGCATGCAAGTGCAAGTAAAACGATCTGACCAGACACTAGAAACGATAAATGGGCTTCATCAAACTCACGGGGAAATCGAACTGTTACATAGGCTCAGTGACTGAACAATTAAACCACAAGCGACCTTTACAGCATATGCTTTAATATACCAACATCATTCAGACTTTTATAACTCTTGTCAGGGCTTCCGATACATTACAGGTAAACATTTGATCATGCGTTTATGAAAATCTCCTCTCAAAGCACTTTGAGAAACATAATCATATTTTCCTTTTTTATTTATTTACAAAAAATCTTCAGTAACATGAACATCGTGTGAACTTACATCAATATTATGCCACGTTTTGTGTTCAGTAAGGTTCAGTGAGTGTAGCAGAGTAAACCGGATATACGCGCTAAAATGCTGTTTCTGTCATAACAACGTGCAGGTTATTGATTAAATTGTCCTTGTGTTTATCACTTAAGTGGATTCCCCACACACTTCCTCCATGCTCAGTAAGTTAATTTAATGGCCATCCCCATAATCACGTTCTGCTAATTTTGATAACTCCTCATTATATGGGAAGTGTTTCCTTTGAAGATGAATCTAGTCACGAAAGCGGATATGTTCCCCGTGTAAAAATATGGCTTGGGCAAGCAGGGTGCCTGATTTTCAGGCTATTATTATCTCTCCAATCACCGACTGTGTTTATGACAGTGTTGCTCAACATAAACCTGACCACGCTCTGGCATGCCCGAGCCATCTTCTGAATGACCCTAACAATCCCCAGTCTTTGCAGATGTCGCTCCATGGTATAAATGTTTAAGTAATGCTTAAGAAAACATAGCTTTCTAACCCGTGTGCCTATGGAAGGGATGGGAAAGGTAAAACCATCTTCCCAAGATTAAGACCTAATGAGAACATTACTCACTGTAAGCCTTGGGCAAAGGTCTGGGCCAAACAGAAGCCATTCCCCATCATATCGGTTTGAGATAACGTCACGAGTAAATTGCCGGGGCCTATCTGAGGCAATCGGTGCAGTATAAGACACATATACAGTTATCTGTCAGTCTCATTGTCACACTTAAGTGCCAATTGATACTAACATCGTCCGTGGTCTTCTCCTTTGCATTTAGCAACCAAGCTACTTCATCTTGTCATCAGCTATACCATTACCATAAATAGTTCTCATCATTCTGGCCATCAACAAGATGGTTGGTGGTTTGGATTCTAGATTCTCTCATTGTATATATGATGTATTACTCGCGATTGCATCGAATCTATGAATGTCTATGAGTACGTTGGTTGTACGTGTATAAATGTTTCTACTCATCGCGTTGTTTTAATAGATAATGAATAAGACGGCGATTGAATCAAATTTTGAATTGGATTACCCCCTGTCGAGCCCTGGTCTTGGGGTGCCGTGCGATGGTCTAACCTCTAGACTGCCATTTGAAGATAGAAGAACACATGTAACTAAATATGACCCTGAAAAAAACGTAAAACACCGACATCATTCATGCAAAGAGACTGTTGCATAAATTAACTCACAACACATGTATCACAACAATATTGCTCTGAATGACAGGACATGTTCCTATTTGAATCTTATTTACAACTAATGCATGTGTTGGATATTTCTGTATGCCACTGGTAAAACATTATTCATATTCACCGACCTCGCTTGACAGGAGGAAAACATTGAAATGAAGTTTATTATTCTGGATTGTGTTTTTTCGTCAATACGAGTTCATTTAGTATGCGTATCAAACAGATCCTTCACTACCTCAGGGAATATATTCTGTAGATGGTTTGAATGGTATGAGAACCCAGACGAAGTTGTATATTGTTGTGAGGTGCATGCAGACTCTTGCAAAGCACCAAGGCTTATAAAAAACATTGAGTTATTTGTCTTCCAATCGTGGCCCAGCTGTCTGTAGAATGTCCTCTGTGGTTTACTTGTCCATCTTCTACTTAGAATGAATACGTACGAGATGCAAAACACACGTCCCTGTGGTCTCGTTATGTATTTCTGACTATATCAAAAGATGACATGATGTAGAAGCAGGTGCTTGCTGTTAAGTATGGAGAAATGCAAATTGCATAAATATCGACTTTTGCGATCTGCCCTTTGAAACGATTCTGCATTTTCTTGTCCTCAAACAACTCTAACAGAAAGTGACATGAGTATGTAGTTCATAAATTTAGCGACGGTTGAGGGTGTACACATAACCGAGTGTTTCGGTCTTGATCCTGAGACGAAACTACGGGAAAATAACAAAGGAATCAATTCGCTAAGGGAAAATTGCCATTTCATGAGACCTCACAGACTTCAGTGCATTCACGCTCGTATAACCATCACATACGACGGAAGGGTATGGGAGCAAAATTCATGGAACTCCACACTTGCGAACCCTCAGATATTTTTATGATGCCGTTGGCGGATCACAACGTGGCCTTGTCGTTGTGACTGAAGATCAAAGTCAAGTCGTCCAAGAACCTCATAAAAATTAATAGAAGAACCGAAGCAAAACAGACAATTTCGAATAAAGGCAGCTTGTTTTAAAGCAGCAGTTATTGTATGCATAATACATCATACATATACATGTAAACAGAATCTAGTCACAGCAAGGCCGTTTGAGTTGCATGTTCAAAATTTCAAATCAGAATTTGTAATTGATTTCTTAACAGGTAGGTTGGTTGGTTTGTTGTTTAACACCGCATTCAGCAATATGGCGACGGTCTGTAAATAATCGAATTTGGACAAGATAATCCAGTGATCAACAGCATGAGCATCGAACTACGCGACTGTGATACGATGACATGTGTCAACCAAGTCAGCGAGCCTGACCACCCGATCTCGTTAGTCGCCTCTCACGACAAACATGGGTTGCCAAGACCAATTCTAACCCGGATCTTTCATAACAGGAAACGTGGGTGCGTAGTGAAGTATTAATGGGATTTACACAAGAGGATGGTACAGCAATATGTAGACAGGTTCCGTTATGATATTTACGGTGCACAAGCACGTTCGCGAGCCTCCGAGTCAGCGTGCGACTGCACGCAATGCTCAAGTACTCGACAGCTAATAGCTATAACATTTTGCGTCGGGAACGTTTTGCAGTAACACTATGAATAGGAGAGCTCCTATGAGAGGGCACAATGGCAATCTTTGATATCATTTACAAATATTTGTAAATGCTAAACATGCTTACTTCATCAATATACGTTATGCAAATAATTAAATGAAGACTTTATGATGTTAAACGTTTAAGCAATATGTAAAAGGCATTATTGTAAGGCTTATGGATATACTATTACGGTTTTTTTTGGCTCACTTTAAGGAAATGATCCACTCAAGTTTGACATATGTGTATATTACAAGTGTATGATATATTTTATAACCAAACGGAATATGTATGTCAACTATATTACACGCTTCCCTGCTGTAAGAGTTGTCAGTTCATGGCATAAGAAGATGACGATAGACATGACTAACACATTTCATCCTGAATTGCTTCTGTGTAAAAAATGTAAGGTAAGTGGGTGCATTCTTTAAAATCATGTTAAGAGTAGATCTATATGTGTCTGTATTTTAACATTATTTGTTACGTTGTTGCTTATAGTCTGCATGTATGGTCAATATGTGATCCTGATTTAGGTCTAATTTAATTAGTGTACAATTAATCATTCGAATGTATCTATTCTTTTCTTATAACAAAGACATGTTAGAATTCCGGACTGGAGGGATATCAAGTGCACAGGGTTCATTTTTCATATTGTTGACGTGTAGTCAATGTACAGTTGTCTCAGAATCGGACAGAGGTTCCACAGACGGTGCCACGTGGTTGCTCTGTTCCAGCTGTTGTCAGAACCATGTGCTTCTGACTAATTGGTGTTCCTGAAAGGCGGTTGAGAACGGAGCTAATCATGTCCAAATCGATTAAGCCTCCCATCCATGCTTCAAAAACATTTTTCAACGCTGAGATATTTTTGCATAAGTGCATGTCCGCGACCCAGTATTATTATGTTCTTACGCGTGCTCTCATTGCAATGCATATTCGATATGGATTTCAATGGTGAATCTGTCGATCATACGTAATTTATATT